ATTCTTTCCCATTAATTTCAGCTAGAATTTTTTCCCCTAATTTCTTTGCAGTATCTGGAATTGAGCATCAGGGGCAGGCAAGAGGTGGGGAAGAACCAAAAACAGCCTGCAAAGAAACAAACAAAATATCTCCAACATGAAACACACATACAAGTACCAAACATACACCCAAAACCCCACATCACCATTGGTATCCTCTTACTATAAAATAGCTCTTTTGCAGGTGAAAATATAGAACTTCCCTTGGAGTTCCAAGGTAGGACAATTAACTTGCTGAACAGCTAACAGCTGCTTCTGATACACTAGCATTCTTGCAATATAGGAATGAGTACAATTTTTTACAATTTGCAAATTTAGCATTCACTATTCTTTCTAAACTCTGCCCTTCCTATTCTTGATCAGATAAACACAGAAAATACTCTTTTCCAATGAATAAGAATTTGCAGTCACAGCAGGATTTACCTATATTGCTTTTCTACATTTATGGCGTTATTGCAGTCGATATTAATATTCTGATTATCACTCTGTATTTAATTTTAAATTGCAATTTCAGTTACATTTGTCTTGATTAAGTTATAATGTATCTGAATTTCAGTGCATCTCATTTTCTGTGAGGGTGCCAGGTACTGTATTAGTAGATGGCTCCCAAGCAAAAAAAAATTAAATTTAAGATTGTTTGGGTGTAAAGTGTTCATCCCACAACTACCAATATGCACTGCTGTCAATTAGAAGTATGACATTGGTGCACTTCATGTATTCATTTCCCTTCACAGTGCCTACATGTACAAACTCATGCAGAGAGCTAATGTCTGATGTTGACCTACAACAAATTCACAAAATATTTTTTGATTTGCTAACTTTTGCTAATAACTGCATCCATATTATTCATTTTTAGCTGTTAAGACTTTCAGAGTGTGCTTTGATATTCAGTTATTACTTAAATATTTCATAATATGCTAACCTGCTGTCCAGTTCATGAAATGATAAAAGAGCTTAGATTAAGGCCACCTTGGAAAACGGAAAAACAAAAGGTCTTTTAGACCACCAAGCTGAACATTGCACATTAAAACATTCCCTTTTAAAGATTTTCTCCTTAAAATATGGAATTTGTAAAAGAAAAAACAACTATAGTATAGCAGACATGTGAAATTATCTTTTTTTCCACCAGAATCCAAAATTCAACTGATAAACATGGTGAAATACTCGTTCTGTGTATCTCAGAAGGTTAGATTATAACATAGCAATGTATTCCACACTATATTCTACTGTGCCAAACTGGCAAATTACAGAGTAAAAATTACCAGTAAGTCCAAATTCATCAGTTATTTTAATGTATCTCTTCTGGTTTCAGAACATTTACAGAGATCTGACAGGAAAAATCTATGATTTCCCTTACATTATCTATACATATTGCACTAATAAATCAAAATTTGTCGTGGAAAAAATGGAAACTAGACCAGATACACATCAAAACAGCTTTATTATTGGTGCTCAAATATTTTCCACTCTAAAGGTTCACTATGCTCTGAAAATGTAAGGAGACACATTTGGAAAGCATAAACAGCACTATTAAATCTACTAAAATATCATGATTTTTCATCAGAATCACAGATCTTTTTAATTATGAAAAGTACAGTTCGGAAAAAAATATTCGGTGTGTTTCTATAAAATGTGAATTGTTTTTAAAAACAAATAATTTGAAAGAATGGTTAGCTGCACAAACAGATTCTCGTTTTTAATTTTACATTGGGCTCTGCTTTTTAAACTCATGAATAGAATTTTTTAAATATGAAAGTTAAATACAGTGTGATTTATTTTCATATCTAGACTGGTGCTTGAGATCTTGGGAAGCTTTCATAAGAAGCTAAAAAAATTCTACTGCCAATTATCTCTACAGATGTGACAGATTCAGAAATTATTCATATAGCCTAGAGCTTGAAAGCACAAAATCCCCAGCAAATTTTACAGGGTAGAAGACAAGTAGTCATTAAATCCTCACTTCACTCACACCACTGTACAATATAAAAAATAATACAAGAACCTCCAAGATGTGTCTAGCCATATGGCCAGCCAGCATTTAATACTTTGCCGATGAGAGATAAGAAAGGTAAGGCTGTATTCCATTAAAAAACAGTAATAAATTTTATAACTATAAAATTTGGGTTATTATAGCACAGCTGTAATTTGCTTTTCATTAAAACAGTCTTTTATTATTCTTTTTAAAATATTAATTTACTGCACAGGGACTCTCATAAACATGACATCAGATTATTTTTCTTATTAAAATACTGAATGAGTAATACCCTCACATACTGACAAATGGGAAAAAAATAGATAATTTGTTCAGTTAAGAAATACTGAGATTCCTTTAGGATGAAGCTCAGATTTTTTTTCCTCATTAACACTTGCTGGCTTGCCATGTGCTTCTCCATGGTATAGCACAATTGCAGACCAGAGGATCACGCTCTACTGTGGTGCTGCCAACAGCAGCATTTTGTGTAAAGCACAGCTGGATGAAACAAATTTTTTTAACAGACTATGATGCTAAACATAGCAGCTCAGCTTCTTCTAGTAGTCATAGCCAAGAGACAGAATTTCTTTTTCTTTTATTTGACACATCCCTTAAGATCTTTTGTAGCTTACTGTGGCTATTCTTCTCTTGGTTGAGGTTTGAGAACCAGTGCATAGACACCACTCTCAATTGTTTGGTTTTCTGTAGGACAGCATAACAATTCCACAAAAGCAACCTTAAGGCCTAGTGGAAACATAAAGAAAAGCAAGAAGGAGAAAAGGTAATTATGTATAATCAGAATTTCTGTTCCATCTGTGCTGCAGGCTGCATAGGCTCTGCTGGATCAGGCAGAAGATGTAGAGGATACCAGGTGCAGCACTTTTATCAGTCATCTCTGAAAGCTTTTCTACCTAAAGAGATTTGAAATAGGGCAGGTTAGGAAACAGATAAAACGTATGAAAACTGCACTAGAATAGTGGTGGTTTATGGGGTATTTGTGGTGTTGGGTGGGGGTTTTGTTTTGTTCTTTCTTGTTTGGTTGACTTTTGTTTTGGTTTCTAATTTTTGTTTCCTCTCATCCAATTCCCAACTGGTCTCTGTATAAGTGTAAGAGGAACTAAAGGGCAAACTCCTCTTTAAGTGAGACCCACCTCTAACCCACCTCTATTCAAGTTGTACATCCAAAAACTTCCCTCCTTGTTGTTCACGCTCCTCTGTACCCCTATTTAAATTAAATCACCTACTCAGCAAAGTGCAGCATATACCTCACTGCATTACTTTGTAGTTCCAGGCTTGACCAGCATGGTCTGAAGAGGAAAGATGTTCTGATCTCCTCCTAGGGACCCAAACCAGCAAAAAAACCAAACAAACCTTCAGCATACAACTTCTATTGTCTGTTGTGGGCAGCAGCCAACTTGCAAGCCTGAAAAAGGGCATATCTATGAAATCCTTGCAAGTCTGGGGTCTGTGCTCACAGTGGATGTAATTGTCCTATTGTATATAACCACTGATCATCAATCATGATATTTCATCCATAAAGAAAAAAACAAACAAAACACCCAAAACAACAACAAAAAACAACCCCCCCACCAAAAAAACAAACAAACACACAAAAAAAACCAAAAACAAAAACAAAAAACACCACACTACTGGTCCAATTCAAGGAAGAGCAGTATTTTTATTAAAAAAAAAAAAAAAAACACTACTGGTCCAGGTCAAGGAAGAGCAGTATTTTTATTAACGACTTTCACTGGTGTATCTATATTATAGCTCTGTTCAATGCAACATTTCAGGTAAAAAGTCTTTTCGAAAGGTAACAACTCTGCTTTGATTTAATGGCAATGATACAGTCTTAAGAAGCCACTATAGATGAAGAGTGCAAATTGTGTCAGACAGCTTTTATGCTGTTTCTTCAAAAATTAGAGTCCAGGCTAGGATTTGTGACAAGGACAGAAGCAAGGTTTTCTATCACATAAAAGAAAATCTTACTCCTGACCAATTTTTTCAGTAATAGCTATGATTTTAATGCACTTCTACCATAAAAACGTGACAAAGTGACCTGTCACTTGAAAACAGGGCTGGGGGAGGAGATGAGGAAGAAAAAACTAATAGTCCATACTATTGGACTATTAGACTGTTGGACTAACATACTGCTGTTCTAATAATGGTTTAAGAACTCCATGAGTTGCAAAGTACATGGGCTTTTCCACTTGAAAAAATTGACTGCCTTTAAAATCACCAGTTTCCCAGAAAGACGTATACAAGAGAGTAAATCAGACCAGAAGCCTTTAGAACAATTTCTTTTCAGACAAAATGAAAGCTGAAAGGCTGCATAAATGGTATTTCAGTGAAGTTATAACATGATAGCCAAAAAAAAGGTGTTGATTTTCTGTACAGTAAAATCCAATTGACAAGGGCAGAAAGAACCCCATTTCCCAGGCTGAGATATGCCTGGCTACCTAAAGTCATTATATCTGGCAACTCCAGCAGAGGCGGAATAGGAAATTAGCCATTATGTTCTGACGTTGTTTTTGCTCTTTCTGAGGAGGGCTAGACCTTTCTGGATTGTTGGGAGAATCTTTCAAGGTGAAAGGAGGGAATATCAGAAGGAGGGAATATCATAAGAATATCCTCAATGCTATGCAATGCTGTTTGGCTGAGCTCAGCTAAACACTGCCCTTTTCACATTAAAAAGAAAAAAATAGAAACCAAGTTTGATCCACAGACTTGAGACCCAAATGTGCCATCTATTCCCTCTGGGTCAAGGGATTTTGAAAGCCTGATGTAGTCACTGTCACTGGTGAGTGTCAAGTTGACACTAATATGAACAAGCCAAGAGTCATGATCATGTCTAATGGCAATAATGTCCTGATGATCCTTAAATTTCCTATTGCTACTGATATTCAGTTACTGAGATTCATCCAAAAATAAACTTCTGGTCAGTCAATCGGTACGAAAATACAAAAAGCCCTTCTTGTTTCTTCCCTAGGACTACACCCTGACCATGTACTTTCAGCAGTCCTGGAGGGATAAAAGGCTCTCTTATTCTGGAATACCTTTGAACTTAACTCTGGACAACAGAGTGGCTGACCAGCTCTGGGTGCCGGACACGTATTTCCAAAATGACAAGAAATCATTTGTCCATGGAGTGACAGTGAAAAACCGAATGATTCGGCTCCATCCAGATGGGACAGTCCTTTATGGCCTACGGTATGTTGGGGGTTTTATTCTGTCTGTGCTGGCAGAAGTGCAGGTAGAACCAATGCCACATTCCTATGCTTTTTTCCTTGTTTCTCATGTATGAGTCAGCATATACTCCATTTAGTCAACCACATCACACCCAAGGATTTTCCACAGAGCAATAACACTGCCCTTAACAGCTACAGCCATAGCTAACACAGCCTAATGCTTCTTTCTTTCAGCTCTTCTGAGTGTGTTAAAACTATTAAAGAGTTCTTTATTATGGTTCTCACCTGGTAATCAATCACAGCTTACACAAACACTTCCTTGCTTCTAAACTTTTTCCACCAACTCTTTAGGACAATGGGAATTTAAAATTTGGAGTCACTTGAAGAAATGTGATAGTTGGTAGAGAATACAAAGGAGATATTTATAAATTTGCATTAATTATTTAAATATTATCTATGTGCCTCAGTATAGGTTTTCTTTAATCTGCCTTGCTTTATAACTGCTACTTCACTCCACAACTGTTTCTTCATACAGTGCAAACCATATTGATCCCTGTAGATAAAAATATATCCTAATTTGAACAGGCATGATCTAACAAGGTACAACTATGAAATTAAAACTAAACCAAGTTATTTTTTATCTTGAAATTGCTGCAGAGCCTGAGTAGGCCTCTATCATATTATTTTTGACGTTAAGGTAGCTTTTCTTGGAAATAATATTGCCTGCCTGAAATAAACTTTGGTCATTGTTATCATTCAACAGTGAAAATAATGTTTTGAGAATATAAACCTGAAAGCATAATTCATTTAATCAGAAAAGAAGTTATAAAGCATAAAACCTAGCTGAAATACTTCAAAATTTTACAAAAGATAGAACTAGTAAAAAAACCCCAAGATTCTGCAGCAATTCAAAATGAAAACAATATATGGGAAATATTATTATTCTATTAGTGAAAATAGAATTTTTAAATTACCTCTTAGCTTATAAAAACATAACCTTTTAAAACACAACACTAATCATGCAAAGAAAGCCTTCCACCCATCAGTTCAAGCTTCTCAAGAAACAAAAAATTATTTTAAAACTATTGTTTTGGCTAGCTATGACTTTGCTTTTGAACTTGTTAGATTCCCAGGCAATGCATTAATATTAATACTGCCAGATCTGTTCTGGTACAGCAAAACTGCTACTTCAGTTGTGAAAAAGAAAATAAGGGACCCATGAGGAATTAGCTGTTAGAACAAAGGATGTCATTATCATCTGCTAAACTTGAGCATTTGAAGAATACATCTTCCTCGTTGCCTTCAGACCTCCCACAGTTCCTTTCAATCAAACTGACTCCTGCGGGACGTTTTTTAGGAGAGGATTGTTTGGTCTGGTCTGACAAATTTTCAAAATATTTTT